TAGTGAATTCTCTAATTTCTCATAAATTTGCTTTAACTAGAATTAAAAAAAAAAAACCATGAAAAGCATATTCCCAAAATTTGTTAAAAATATAAATAATTTATTTCATGCAAATTAGTTTTACAAATTGTGACAACTTTTCAACTATTGATTCCAATTACTTATTCAAGCTTACTCTTATAGATTTCAACATGTATTTCTCTTATTTGAAGATGAATTCAAAATGAAAGGGTAAGTTTGTAAATAGCATATTTGCAATTATACCCTTACACATAACTAATGGGTTTTATTGCATTTGAATGTGTGAATTCACTTTTTAATTTAGTTATAATATTTCTTGCAATGCTTTCTTTAAATTCTCATTTTGGTTTTCTGATTTTATTGTTTATTTATTTATTTTATTGATTAATGGTTTTTTTTTACTTGAAACTGCAATTTCTAAATGTTGTGTGTTTTTCAGTCCTTGAAAAAAATTAAAGGAAGTCACTATAATCAGAGATCACACATAACAAAATAATTATTTAAAATTTTAATTGATTTTTTGATTTTAATTGATTAGAAAATGTATAATAATCATTTTATTTTTATTTATGTTCCATATTGCTCTTCATGTTATTTTGAGTTCACAACAATTTTTTTAATTTTTTTTTATTTGAATTTTTTAAAGCTTTGTATTTAAATTTTTTCATTTAAATGAGTTATCATAATTACTTATCACTCAAGCTCTATTGTCAGCGCCACTGTTTTAGTTTTACATGTGTCATTCACCGGTAAGATTTTTAAAATACATTGTTCTTTAATTGGAGAGGCAATGATTATGCGTTGAGATAGCATGTATCTAGTGATCTAACAAGCATTTTGTGAATCATATTATTTAATCCTATCATCTGCTTGAAATACAAGAAAATGGATTATATCTAGCAATCGTCCCAAATGGGATGACAGACTGAAGTCATTCGAAAAAAGGCGCATGATTCATGCAATTCACTCTACATTTCTATAATCTTTTTCTTGTCATAGGATCACTAGGGCCTAAGTTTTATATCTGACAGTCAAAAGTCCATGGTTATAAACTTTGCTTCATGAACGACCATTTTCAAGCCTTATATCTAAGATTTAGAGTGTTACATTGATTGGAAAAGTGTTTCATTGATTTGAACAATTGAAAATGATTTTCTAGTATCCACGAGAAGCCCTTGAGCTTCCATTTGATTGATTTGAGCTCTCTCTAAGAAATGAATCTTGACGGTGCTCGGGTTGGCAAAGGGATGGTTTAAAAGGGTCAGAAAGAGGTTATTTTGATGGTGGATTAGGGTTTAGAGATCAAGTAAGATTTTAGGATAATTGGATTGAAAAATTGATGGGTGGAGAAGGGAATTAATGGAGGATTTGGAGTTACTAGGCTCAAGATGTTGTGGGAGAAGATGGTCAACGGTTTAGGGAAGGCTTTAGGATCGAATTGAGAGAGCCTGTACAATTGATATGCAAGTTCTTACAAGGGTTCAATAACAGTTGAACAACCTTCAATCAAGGAACCTGGGGGGTATTTATAGGCAATCTTGGCTCAGTTTAAGCTTTAGAAAGGTTCTAGGCACCAAATATTTGTGTCAGAATGACATATCATGATCAATCTTGAAAGTGATGGGATTTGGACACTTAGGCAGACATTAGATCAATATGGGAAATGAACATTTCAATTTTTAAAATCGTTAATTGCTTAGACATATCACCTTATGGTTTTTGAAACATGGGTTTTATGATTTCAAGAGAGGCATTAAATTATTCTTGATCCTAATTTATTTCTAATTTTTTTCATGAAAATGTTATGACGAATTTTGATTTATTATAATATAGATTCTTAGTATATTTAAAGATTTTGGTGCTTAGTTATTTAAAAAAATTTAAAAATTATATTTTCAAAAAAGTTTTTATAAGTAAGGTTTTGAGTTAGTGCTTCAATACATATGATTTAATCTGCACGGGAAGCAAAAATGATAAAAATCAAAATTTCCATCAAGCGGCCCTGCATTTGTGCACTCGTAAGTGCATTTATTTGCATGCACATGCACCTGCTCGTGCACACCTGCACCAGCGCGTGCATAGGTCTGCACCTGCGTGTGCACATGCCTGCACCAGTGCACGCCTATACCTGCCCCGCGCATGTTCCTACCCACTCTCCTCCTGTGTGCTCATACTTGCACGCCTCCGGCCTTCGCTCTATGCATGCACCTACACCTGCACCCGCACCCGCAATAGCGCGTGTCCCT